CTATGTCCTGTGCCGTTGGAGGCCCCGCCGACAACTCTTCTGCCGGGGGTCCTGCCAACCCTATGTCCGGTGCCGTTGGAGGTCCAGCCGACACCTGTTTAGCCGGGGGTCCTGCCAACTCCATGTCCTGTGTCATTGGGGGTTCCGCTGAGAGTCCTGCCAATCCCATGTCCTGTTCCGTTGGAGGTCCCGCTGAGAGTCCTGCCAATCCCATGTCTTGTTCCGTTGGAGGTCCCGCGTCACCTGTCTCGCTGGGGGTCCTGCCAACTCCTGGTCCTCTTCCGTGGGGGATCCTGCCGAAGCCTGTCCCACCGGTTCCTGTCCTGCCGACACTGGGTCCTGCCCGGCCTCCGGAGCTGTCCCGTCAGCGCCTTCCTGCCCGTCCTCCGGAGTTGTCCCGTCGCCGCCTTCTTTGCCCTCGAGCCCGGCCCCCTGAGAGCCGTGGTCTTCGCCCTCGAGCCCGGCCCCCTGAGTGCCGTGGTCTTCGCCCTCGAGCCCGGCCCCCTGACTTTCCCGGCCGCGGCCCTCGGGCCCGCCCCCCCTGACTCTTCCAGCCGCTCCTTCCAGCCCCCTGAGTTTGCCCGCTGTGGCCTTCGCCCCTTTATGAACTCTGCCTTGCCCCCGGGCCGTCCGCCCGAGGCCCCCTCCATGGACTCTGCCTTGCCCCAGTGCCATCCGCCCAAGAACCCCTCAATGAACTATGCCTTTCATGGGCTGTTGATCCAGACCCGTCCTCCGGACCCCCTCCACCCACCCTGTTTGAAATGTTTGACTTTGTGTAGGGACGTCTGGAATCTGTCCCTTGAAGGGGGGGTTTGAGTTTTTGTGTGTCTAGTTTTGGGGTTATTTTGCTGTTCTGTCCTCCCTGTCGTTAGTGTCCCTATTGTGTCTGATTGTGTTCACCTGTTGCCCTTATGTTTCTCCTCCCCTGCCCGGCTGTTTCTCGTCTCGTGATTACCCCTCCCTGTATTTAGTCTTGTCTCTTCATGTGTTCAGTGTTGGTCAGTGGTGTAGTGGGGATTTTTTTACTGGGGGGGACGCTATTTTAATTAGCTCCAAACAATGCAACACAAGTGCGCACGCGCGCAGTGCACTCAAAAAACGGGCAGACAGGTCCACAGAAGCTACCGGTATGCGTAATCCTACTTTAGTTACTGTACTGCAAAAAGCAGACGGCGCTGCGCTCAACAAACACCCGACACTTACAACGCCATTTTTCTTTTGAAAAGCTTCTTCTGAAACAATCAAACTATTCCTGGGCAATTTCTGTTACTGAAATGATGATCTGAAGATGAGTATACAAGATAACTAAGCTGCTATTAATAAGCAGCATTTTGTAAGTTTCAGAGTAGTGACTTATTTTGCCAACTGTAGTTCAATTCAGGTTTGCTCATTTCCTGATGCATATGCTGAGATGCAATACTAGCAGTTTTCATTGGACACAAAATAAGAGTTCAGTTAAGAAAGGATCAGATTCTGATTAGCTTTAATTTAGCAGCGACACTCGCCAGAATAGGAATCAGGACAGTCTTAGGTAAAAATACTCATGAATCTGAATCAGAATCGGGGTGAGTGTAGCATTGATGATGCAGGATGACATCACCAAAACCTTTCCCGTCCATCCCCATGACTTCATGTTTACATATCTTGGTTGGTTTTTAAAAATCCAAAACCCAATCCGTGCGTGTTATGGACATAATCTACAGGGGACATATGATTTTGTACCTAACTCATGCACATATGTTTGCCATAGTGGCTGCCGGGTTCAAAATATCTAATCCACTGCTACAACTGTGGCTGTCGCGACATCCTTCCTTTGTTTTGTTCAAACTTCTTTTGTTAGATATTTCTAATGCATTATCTTTTCATTTATTAGTGTTACATATAGTTGTGAGGACTTGTTTTATGCGACTTGTTTTATGTTTTATCAAGATAAAATAATGTTCTTTTTAAAACACATACAAAGAAAATAGGCATTTACAATAGATGGCGTCTTCCAAGCTTGCCCATATTAGTGTTTCTTAAAGGCTGCTGTTGTGGGAATTGTAGTTTCCTATAGTCCCTTTACTACAGTGGTCTCTACTCTGTGACAATATTATTAGACCTATTCTTGAAACAAAAAAATTGGCTCCAACAGAAGAAAAACACAGAAACAGAGTTGGCAATGGCAGAGCCTAAAACATATGGCCTCTTCTTCGGGGGTATTTTGGGGTAGATTAAAATGGAAACAACATTTTCTGAAAAATTTGCATCGTTACCATCTTGTAAGATTTCATTGGGAATATTTTGAGATCGTAATATAGAGCTTGGTGTTAAAACAATCATGTTCAAAATCCTTATAAAACTTTGGATTTAGAAGCACAGAGTATTATTGGTAGATCATCCATATCTCAAGGCTCAGAGTTTTGCAGTATAATCACAGATTTGTCAGTCATCTCTCTGTCAGAAAAATGATGTTAACTTTAATTCATTTCCCCAACAGGCAGATCTGATAACACAGAGGCTGAGTATTCCCCAGCACTTGTCGCTGAGACACATCTGCTCTTCTTTCTCTGGCCACTTTTGCTCTCACACAAGACATGTAAAAAGAAAGACTCCTTAATACAACCCGAGATGTCAGAAGTACTCTTCCTTTCAACGGAGAGTCTGTCTACCTCTCAGGCGACCACTTGGCTGAAATTCAAAGAGTGGTGCTCTTTTAGAATGATAATCACCTCACCATGGATTTTTGGGACGCCCTTGAGCCTCACTGATGGATGAACTATTGAAACAGAAAGATGATAGATGCTATCTGAATTAACACAATCCCCTCCAAATAGCCCCCTGCTGTCTCAAAGTCCAGCACACAAGTATGATTTGATAGCAAAGGGGACAGAAGGAGGGACTTTCTTCCTTTTCAAGTGTCTTTTTAATCAACTGGCACAAAGGGATCCCTGCTGTCACTGAAAGGAGAAAGGAAGAGGGGGAAAAGCTGAGTGTCACATTTGAATCCCTCACTGACATTGATTTGATTGAAATCTCTGTGAGGTGAACCCAATGATGAGACCTAGATCAATCTCAGGCTAAGGATTCAGAGTTTCAAAGAATACTAATGGCACATATAGAGGATTACCCACATGAATAACAATGACAATGTGACTAAAGTCTTAGTTAGTATCTTTTTGCGTCGGGGTCACAGAGAGAGAAATGTCCCTCTTAAGCAAAGACACAAAGGCAGAGATTCAATCAAGTTGCTATCCCAGATATGTTTAGAAATATTTATCACACACAACTATATGACGGACAGAAAACTGTGGGAAGAAAAAAACAAAAGGCATCACCCAAGATTACACACGGAAACGGATGGGAATGCAAATTGTTTTTGAATTTATTTAGTTAAGCAGCCAAAGCCATATACACATCTTTTGGAGTGTTCTACCTGTTGGTGGCACTAGATGAATCACCATAGATGTTAGGATACATAGAACAAGGCAATCATGACCAGGTCAGGTGGGTTGGGGTAAGTATGTTCGCATAGCAGCTCCAAGTAAGTAAAAATGCACTTTTACTCTCAAAGACATGCACACTCAAATGCCAGCATCTTTACATCTCTATCAAAATAAATATTGATCAATTCTGAATTGTTTGTAGCCTTTATTTATGCAGGTGAAATCCCATTGAGATCAACAATCTCTTTTTCAAGGGAGACCTGCAGCACGTTGGTTACACATGTTAACATAAAAACAACAGAAAACAAAAAGGACGTCATACAACATAATTACAGGGTACAATTTACAAATCTATTCACAATGACAGGTACCAAGAGTATCAAATAGCATTTCATCCAGCCGAGTTTTAAAATGATGCAGGGGAACCAAAATGCTCAGTTTCAAACATGTTTGCAGAGTGTTCCAAGCTAGAGGGGCTGCGCACATAAAAGCTTTAGTTCCTAAAACAGTCCTAGCACTTGGCACATGTAATAAAAACACATCCTGAGATCTTAGGCAATAGCTACTTTCAACTCTCTGTGAGATCAGAGAGCATATGGTAGTTTACCCAACATGGCTTCATAGATGAACATGTACCAATGACTGAGCCTCCGAAACAATAAGTGAAGGCAGACCTGCCCTGGCATACAGGGTACAGTGATGAGTAAGTACTTTACAGTTAGTAACAAATCCCAGCGCACTGTGATAGGCGGCATCTAACTTGATCAGATAATGGGCAGGTGCATTCATATATTAAATCCCCATAGTCCAGCACAGGTAAAAAGGTCACAGAGACTAGCCTTTTCCTGAATGCAGCAGTAAGAAAGACTCCAACAAGTCCTCCAACTCATACGACCAAATAGGTTAATTGTTCAGCAGTTTATTACGACCTATAGTCACGTTTTA